CTCTGTTCACACACACACACACACACACACACACACACACACACACACACACACACACACACACACACACACACACACACACACACTCAATCACACACATACACATACAAAAACACACACACAAACACACTCATGTGCCCACAAACATGCCCACACACATGCCCACACACTTGCATGCATGGGTGTTCTTCCTTCTGTGCTTTAACTCACTGACCACTGGCCCCTTTCACCAGTCACTAGCACTGAGTACTGGCATTTTTGGGGGTATTTCAAAATGCCACCACAATCTTATAATTACCCTTTTGTAATTATTTTTTGACACAGTAATGTTACTTTCAAACTTAATCTTTTGCAAAAAATTTAAGTTGTCTAGGTCTTTAATACTTTAATTTTTATTTTTGTTTAAAAATTGGCATGAATTTGATTTTTAGAAAAATTTCCAGAGATGTGACACAATGAAATTCACAACAACAACAAAAATAAAAGTTCAAAGTGTTCTGTTTTGATTTGTATCCATGTGTGAGTATTTGCTGAAAATGTAAAAGCTGGTCTGTGGGTTTATTCAGACCCCATACACTGAATTACATGAGACAGATGTAGGGAACGAAGTTGTGGTTTCTTCGAGCGAACAACAACACCAGTAGGCCTACTTGTGCTAGATCTAGCCCTAAAGCTACGACTTGGGCCGTGTTCAGGTTCATATCCTGGGTCCTAACTATCAGGCACATCATATCCTGAGTCACTAGAACTAGCTAAACGAACAGAAGTATCTTCTTGTTCATGCGACCGTTACTTCGGCGCGACTGTCGGATTACTATCAGCTGTATAGAAAAAACATAGCGAGAGTTCCGATTAGGTCAACCCCAAATGAGGTGACTGTCCTTCACCTTCAATTAGTTAAAAGTTACCACGAAACTTCCGCCAAACTCGACACGAAACGAAACAAGTGGCAAAACTAGCACTGGAGTCCATTCCCGTACATGTGACGGGAGCTCAAGATACAGAATAAAATTGCAAAGTCCACCCCGACGGCCCGCCCCGTACCTGTGACGGGAACCGTAGTCAGTGAGTTAAAGATTGCTGATACTTTATTCCACAATATTTCCGCTTTCAAGTAAAAAGTTTACACCATATGTTTTTCTTTGTTTCTCATCTTTCCATGCAGGTTCTTGAAACTAAATTTCCAGCTGTTGTCTCGTTATACTGTGTGGCTGAATGAAGTGTATCAAGAAGAGGTATGTTGGAGTTCTTTACTGGCTTGGGCAGTTTATGTCTCAATGTCCAAAGAATGCCTGGCGTTTTGGCACCTGTTTATAAGACATCAATTTGCCCTTATTAACCACCACCGATCTATGAAACTTAGCATGCAAAAAGGCTCTAAAACATACTGCCCAATGCGAAAGAAATTTTAAAGATATCTTAAAACCTCTTTAAATTGAACAACTAGGCCTAGATCTTGATCGGTAAATTTCTGCCACTAATCTTTACAGCCTTTCTCTATCTACCACTAAACTCTGAATCCTCCACTTAACATGGGTCTGTATCGCTGTCATCTTCTTCAGCACTTGTAAAATCTAGTTCCGACCTGGTGCATTGACGTATTATGGGTTCATCAGTTTGAAAATGTTCTGAGGTTTAGTCGCCATTGTGATTAAAAGCGTTTAGGGTAATCCAGAAATACAAAACAAAATTTTATTGTTATTAAGGGATATAAAAATACCAATGCTCAATTGACTCAAAAAGGACAGCAGTTAACATACCTGTGAAAACTAGCCCCGAAATGCATCTGGTAATAGTTGAAAAAAAGTTGGAAACTCAAAACTGAGGAGCTTCGGGAATAGCAGTTGCCCATTTATCGATTTTACACAAAACACTTTGGATGTGGTAGCGAGTGGGTTAAGGGACACCTACTGTAAATGCTTCTGTGAAGATTGCTTTCATTGGGTTGCAATCTGGTTTACCAATCTAATTTGGGGATTGCTTTTTCTTTTTTTCTTTCTGTACCGGTATTTGATCTCCGTAAGACGACTGCTGTTGCGTCAAGATCATGTTTACACGGGGCCACAACCATGAGATAGGAGAAAAATGATTGACCTTGCATATAAGGCACATGGTGTCAGCTTACAAGACAACATTTTTTTTCGCAGTCCATCCTGTTGTGAACTGTTATGCCCATGACATTAACTACAAAGTATGTGTTTGTTATTTTAACATTGGATGACACTTTTTCTCTCCGCCCCCCCCCCCAATTTTTTCATGTTCTTTATTTTGATAGGTACAACGCAAGTCAGACTCAACAACTGAGTCTAAAAACCGATCATCTACACCAGACCGTCTGGGCACCCCCACCTCTGACATCACAGGTGATCACAGCGGGAGGACAGGGTCCCCCAAGACTGTTGTGGAGTTGCTTCTCATTGCTCCCATCACAGCTGGTCAGATTGTGGCACTCATGGCAGATCTAGATACTCTGAACAAAAAGGTAAGTTGTGTGTTCTCTTGTAAACTTTCCTTGATTTTTAGGTGGAAAATTCTGGAGTTGTATGTTGTTTTAAGTCCAGGACCAATAAGAATGTTGTGGGTTGAGGTGTTTTCCAGTTGTAGTCAAATGGGTGAACAGAAAGTTGTCTTTTTTGTGAGTAGGAGAAAGAAATTGTTGATGGCTCTGTTGACGAAAAGGTTTTTTTGTGGAACTGAGCTGGCCTGGCTTTTTTAAATCTTTCATTTTACTGATCAGCCGGTCTTCTCATTGTAGCAATGCTTATATCAGAGTATTTTTTGTTGTTAGTATTTGCATCCCCAAAGCTTGCATTTAGGATCTGCTCCCATGAGCCAGCTTTTGTTCCTCTGAGACATGTTGATTTTAAAGTCTCAAAGCACATGCAGTGACTACAGAGCCCTACTTTTATGACACCGGAAGTGGGTGTGGGGGGGGGGGGGTCCAGTGGCCGATGGATTAGCTAGTTTAGGGAAAGAAATAAGGTCAAGCAATTTTGGTGACTTTATTTTTATAGATGAATGTTCCCAGGGGAGTTTCTTTGAACAAATCATGTTAACCTCAGTGTGAGAAAAGATAGGACACTGGACTGTTGCAGTCAGAGATAATGTATTTATCAAATTTTTTGTACTAGTTTGGCCGTCATGATTTCTGTGATGCTGTAGTCTCAAAGTTATGTAGTGTCAGAGTTATTTCATTTAAGCATTATAATACATGCCATTGCTCTCCCAATTTGTCCTTTTCTTTTGTATGAAAATGACCAACTAAAAAAATTATGTATGTTCAAATATCTCTCCCCTCCCCCCTCCCATCATCCCTTATGCCCATCCCTTCCTTCATCATTAGTCTCCGAAAGGTGCTTTGACTTCATTCTTATGAAACGCGACGGGCTAAGATGTGGTTTCTGCTTTAAAAAAAAAAAATGTGCCTAGTGTATGGATTGTTTAGTTCATGTTCAGTCTCTGAAAGTACTTATTGTCCACTCTCAAGGAAACACTGGATGCTAAATTGTATTCTATATCTTGATTTAACAGGGAAATGTTTGCTTATTTTTTTCCTTTGTTCTCAAAGGTATCGCTTCTATTTGATGAGAAAATATTGCCCAAACTCATGGCACAAGGGGTCGAGAGCACTGATGCTATCAAAGGTAAGCTTAGCTTCATGCATATGTTGTGGTTGATTCATGATATTTTATGGACAAATTTCGTGTATTTACCTCAAATTTCTCTGTTTACAATGCTTTCCACAATTCTGGGTTGCTTAACTTTATAATGAGTTTGAAGACAGATCTTCTACCTTTGGAAATTGATGTCGCATTTTATGACTCTAGCTGTGGTTCTATCTTTTTTTTTTTTCCAGATTCAGGCTGTCTACATTCTTTTGCTGTAGAATGGCTAAAAAAAAGATTGTTTGTGTTACTTTCCCAAACGGTGTCAGTTTTTTTTACAAGATAATGTTTTAGAGAGTCAAGACCTTTGCCTGAAAAAAAAAATAATCATTATCACCCCAGCATGTGACCAATACCTGGTTTGGCTTTTCAATGCCACTGCTGGCAAATATTGCTTCTTCCTACAGATGAGGTCGCAAACCTTAGTTTATCGCAAGATGTTCACATAAGAGCTAAAAATATGCTTACAGTCCTTATTTAGGAATATTGACTCTGCAGAGCCTGTTACAAGATAGTTATAAATTCTAATTCTCACTTTTTGGAGATGAAAGTAATATTTCAGCAGAAAGGTTTTGAGAACTGAACCAGTTCTATTCTTGTTTGAATCAAAACATTTGAATTAATAAGAAATGAAGCACTTGTGGAAGGAACAGCAAATTTATATTTCAAGGAAAGAAACAGGAAATTGTCTCCTCATGGAAACCGTCATTAGGCCCCTTTTGATGTGGGCCCTTGAATGAAAGGGAGACAAGACAGCTTGTGACATTTTGTGGTCTGTGCAAGAAATCGAATCTTTAGTTTTTTAGTAAACGTTTGATGGCGCTAACAACAAAGATACGTTGTATAAGTGATGAATATAAGATGTGTTATTATAGGATGACAAACAAAGAAAGAAGGAGGGGAGAGAAGGACGATAGATGTTTGATAAAGAAAGAAGAAGCAAACCACACCAGAGCACCCACCAACCACCACATACTCAATTCTGTGCCCATCTTTCCGACATTTATAACTTTGTGCATTTTGTTTCCTGCAGCGGCTCTGCTGGAAGCAGTCACTGAGGCCGGGGCCTGCAGGCCCAAATTTTGGTCCATGGTCACGGAGGACATCGTGAAGAGATGTGGTGCATTTCTCACCCAAGTCAATGACATTCCTCGTCTGTACCGGCGCACGAACAAGGAAGTGAGTCCCACTCTCATTTTGCCAAAAATTCCAAAAATACACGTAGAATTTTTTTTTTCCAGTTTCAATACTTGTGTTCAGTTGTATCGAAATGATGTAGTCTAAATAAAAGACATTGCTGAGATAACCTGACCGTTCTATTTCTACATTTGTGTTCCTAGTAAATGAATTTATGCATAAAATCAATTTTAAATATGATTTTGGTTCCCTGCACTGTAGTCAAAATTTTGAATGACAATCTAAGTTGATGTAAATCAAAAGAGTTTTTTATTTCGGTTATTTCAGCTGTGCGGTTTCCTGTCTAGCTTTATTTCACTTCTTTTTTTTAAATGAATGATTTTGCTATTTCTAAACTCTTGCTTTTTTTTTCATGTAAACTTCATTTTAAATTTTACATAGATTTGCTCTAAATACTCCTTGTTAAACAGTTTTTTAAAGACTATTGGCAATGAAAATGTGAAATTTTACTGTCTTTGAATATATATTATATATATATATATAAATTATTAACCCTGATGAGCATTTAGGTTTCCTATCATGCAAGCTGATGATTAATTAATGTAAAGAGGAAAAATGTGTTCTATGTTACAGTAAGTGAAAAGTTTTAAAATCTAAGAAATTTCTTGTCTCAGACATTGTCCAGTTGTTATCATGTTGTCAGAATCTGTCATTGTGAAAACAAACAAGAGAACATTTGATCTTTTAAACATGTTTCTTTGTTTTCTTGATCTTAACTGGTCATTTCTTCGTGAGTCTTTGAGAAAGGTATGTCTATTTTTATACTTTTATAATTTTTTTGCTTTTGATTATTTGAGATTTGCATGATGGTTTTAAAGTCCCCAAAACATGTCAATTTTGAACTGTTTTGTTCTTTTGTGCAGGTTCCCACAAAGCCGTCAACATACCTGTCAGGGGTAGTGAAACCTTTGACACACTTCTGTGAAGAGCATTCAGGAACATTGAAAGAGCAACAGAAACTAGAGTTTCTGACTCATGTGTTCATCAGCTTGGCCAAGCAGTAAGTCCTGAAGAATTTGTCATGTCTGAATATTAAAAATCAGGAGGTTAAAAAATATATAAATAAATATTCATGTGTTAGTGTTGTCTGAGTGATATGATTAAGGTTTGAAATTAATTTCCTGAAAAAAACAACGTGTGTCAATACATAGTTTTAAATGTTTTTTTCTTTTTTTTAAAGCACGATGTACAGATATTTGATGAAGCTTTAAAGAAAGAATAATGTAATTTCTGGCATACATGGCATTGAACAGTGCTTGCCTCATTAATATAGTTTCACACAAACAAGGCTTCATTTTATGGGTTCTAGAAAGAGTCTAAAGGTGTAGTTATGAGAGTTTGGTGAAAAAAAGGGTAGTATTTAATGCTGTTAGTGTAGGGTAAGTGATGCATGCAGTGATACCAAAGGTTTGTAAGAGTGGTCACTGGAATGCTTCATGGTCTGATGGGGAATGAACATGTCCAACTTAGACTCTTGCTGGTGCCCTTGCTCAGTTTCGTAATGTGTTAAAAAAAAAATTGTGAATCGATTTACTCTCGTTGACCTATCTGATATGATCTATATATATATTTCAGACCTGCCACTCATCCCGATTTAGTCGGGGCATCCCGATTTTCCGGATTTCGATCGCGTGTATCCCGATTTGTTGTCTCAGTCTGCTGTTGTGCCAGATTTTTCTAAAAACTTACTCTGCTTTCCTCTATATCGCGGGAAGCACCCGTTAAACTTTTTGTCAGTAGGAACTTGGAGCACTATTTCCCGAACTATCGATGCCCGATTTAGTAGTTGACCCGCCCCAAGTTGTGTTTGATCTTTGCCTCCGATGATAGCCTGATAACTGTTACAGTTTGGGACAAGCAAATAATCAATAATATTCGTAGTTCCGCTGTTACTTTCAAAACAAGTAATGTGTGAGGTCTGGTAACTGCGCTTCACATCAAACACTCAGACAAGCGACAGTCGTTCTGACCCTTATACAACTACATGTAACTGCGCTGACAAGACCAACATACGGCCGTTGTCGTTGCTTTAGTCAAAACGCATTTTGAGGGATAAGCGATTTGTTGGTACATTTAGTCGGTCGGCTGCTGTTGTTATCCTAGAAGTAGAATGACTGTCACTCATCCGAGTGTTTTGTGTGAATGCGCAGTGAGTCGGACCCATCTGTAAAATTGATTTAATCGCGCATTCGCATCACGTGACATGACTTTGACGTGTTGCGGCCGTGTGAGTTCTGCGTTTGGGGGCGGTCCGTTGACGGGGTCAACTTAAGTTCATGTGTTTTGGGACTTATTGGTGTGTGTGTGTGTGGGGTGGGGGGGGGGGTGCTGTTAGACACTTGGACCAGGAGTGCTTAACGTGATGCACGCATGCACACGCGCGCACACGCACACACACACACACACGCACGCAAACAAACAAAGACACACAGAGGGCATATGGGCCTTGTACTTTATGGACATTCCTGGATAATGTTTAAGTCAGCTTGGTGATTTGCTGTTGATCCCGGTTTTTTCACCAAATCCCGATTTTTCCCCCCCTGAGATCCTGATTTTGAGGTTTCATAGAATGGCAAGTCTGTATTATAACTGCATCATGCTCGAAAAATAGAATATACTCTCATTTACTTGTACTTGGAAAGGTCTGGATTGATAACAACAACAACGACCTGGATCGATATTGCTTGAAAAGGTCTTCAAGGGACACTCATGTTTCAGTTACTTGCAGATGCAGAAAAAGAAGCATGACTGAGTCAGTAGTACTTAGTTCTCTGTTGAGAAAATAAGTAGGCCTACATAAACAAATCTGTTCCCTTAACACTTTCCCTACCACGAGCCACATTCCTGGCCTCCTGGACGGAGAGCCGCAAAATACGGCTCGAGTGACTCGCTATCTATTCCAATCCAGTAATGAAAAGACACGAAGTTCTTGGCCAATCCATGTTTTCAAAATAATGGAATAGACTTCCTGTTAGCAGATACTGAAGAAATTATGAGAGACGATTTTTAGTCATTTTAGGGCTTTTTTTTGTCCCCTTCGAAACGTAAATATGAGGAAAAAAGCGCTCCCCTGACTTCAGTATGTGTTTCATATTTTCACTTCTATCTTAGGTACAGATACATAACTTTCAGCATTTCTTTGCATTACTTGAGGCAACCTACTCGGGAAGTTTGAATGATGCTGTTGTTGTACTTTTTTAGATATGACCTTTCAAAGCTGGAAAATTGTTGATTTCATGACACCTTCGATATTGCATAATCACTTTTTTAGAAAACCCAAAGTAATATAATTGAAATAAATCTTCAATATTGTATCGCCATCTGATAGATTATTTTTTAACCTTCTTTTTGATGGGCCATATGATATGGTTTGTGTGATTTAGTTGGATATTTTGACATTTTCCTTTGGCGGGGTAGGGGCGTAAAAATAGGTCATGGAAAAGCCCAGGGCCAGTGGTGGATTTTGGCCTGGTAGGAAAAGAGTTAATAGCAAAGTATTAAGGACAAGGGGATGAATTAGGAAAATTGTCACATTTTCTTTGCATTATCTTGTTTCACCTCCTTTTTTTCTATTGTTACCAAGTTTAAAAACTTTTAATTTCTGTTCAGGTTCTCTGAAGTGACAACTGAGGTCTTGACGTCCACAAGGAAAATGGAGGAAAGTCTTCGTCGTCTAAGGAAAGCCCGTGGGGGAGAGAAGGAGAAGGAGAAATCAGGGGGTGTCAGCGATTCGGACAAAATCCGAACTCAGATCATTATAGACATCAACAGTTTCCACGAACAGGTAAATATTTCTGGAAGACAAGTAATAGATTAAATATTCTGTGAAAAAAAAAAATCTTCTTATAGTAGCCTATAATGTGCACACCTCAAAATTTTTATTCAGACTGATGTTGCCTTTGTTTTTGAATATCAGAATCAGGCAACAAGTAATATGCTTACTCGTATAATTTATTTAATATATAACCTCTTGGTTGAAGAAATACTGTGATATATTAATTAAATAATGCTCTTCAAAGGTACTTTTCGTTTTTGCAGTGTTTGAAATTGACACTGGTGAGAAGCATCGTGCAGTAAACTGTTTTTGATGTATTGAAAATTTTAATCTTTAACTCATTCGCTACGCTGAGCCATAGGGGGGGTGGCGCGGCTAAAGTGCCGTCAGTACGCTAAACCGCCCCCAGCGGCTCGAGAACCGATCTTCAATTTTAGTTTAGATTCTATTCCAATCCACATACCCATGTTAAAATAAAGGTCATAATATAATGTTGACTTCCGGGTCAAGCATTTCCACTGAAAATCGGAAATTTAGATTCAGTTTTGAAACGCAATTTCGTAGTTTATTCGACTTTGTTTTATCGCGATGCCAAAATTATAGCCCGGACACCAGTCTTAGTAATTTTACACTACAAAATCTATCATTATTTTGCCCGCTAAAGAAATGTAAGACTCTTTTTTATAATATTGATACGATTGGACTCATATTGCCAATGCACTGTTATTGAGAAATCAATATTTTTGAGTGCTAGATCTAAATTGTCATAATATATTTTTCTCTACAAAATCACTACTTTTTGATGAAATTACACAAAAAGTGCCACTCAAGACAGGTATAGGTTTATTTCAAATGCAATTCTGAATAATTCCATATGAGATACGAGAGGGGTTTTTTCTGTTTGTGATCGTTTTTCAAGATTATAAAATGTTTTTTGTTTTTTCAATATCGGATGTTATGTTCAAAATGTACAAATATTATAGAATGTAGATGAATAACTGCAAACTTTTCAGTGTTTTCCAGTTCTATATTCATTTATTGTTATTTTGATGTATCATTTGACTAGGTGCAAACACATTTTTTGAGGTTCACCAAAGATTATTAATTTTTTATTTTCAAATTTTATCCATATCCAATCAAAATTGTGTTGCATAATCGTCTCTTACAGGAACCAAAGTTGAAAAATACATAAATAAACATTACAGATGTATTCTACAAATAGGTACCAGAAACTAAATTTTCAAAGTAGCTGTATGCCAAATTTATCTGTTCCATTTGAAAGGCCTATATCCACTGAGCATTTTGGTACCATTCTTTAACCTGTCAGTCAATTTTTAAGAAAATGGTAGTTGTTTAAAATTTGATCAAATTTGTTAAAGTCAGTCTCTGGCTGCAACCCCAAGTTTGACAGACAATAAAAGAGTACCGAGTGCTCTAAACATCTCCACATTAACAGAGTACAATCACTATAACAAATATATGGAGCCTAATTTTTTTCAAGACTGAGATCATTACAAATCAGTATTTTTATCACTTCAAACACGATGATCTGTCGTTATTTCAACAAAAACACCGAGCGTTGGCGAGCGAGTCGGCTTATACTGTAGTATACCCCGCGTGCGGGGTCATGCTTTTCGAGTCTCACGTAAGGATTGATAAAGAATAATTCCAAGCTGATTACTTTATTCTAATAGAAAATATACTGATCTTTTTATTGATAGCTTTTATAAGCCGTTATTTTACATATTTTGTGTAAAAAGTGACCTTAAAACATTTTGACAGCATTTTTAAAAGCTTTCTATTTAAACGCCAAAGGCCAAATATATACCACGGAAAAGCCCGTTTAAAGCTCTACAGTTCTCCGCCAATGAAAAGACGGTATTTAATCATCGCTCGTTCCACGAAGCATTTGAATGCACGCATGTCAATTTTTGAACCGGCCAACCATGCATTCCGACCGCGAGGGGCTACGCTTTCGTCAGCGATTCTCCAGCTCCTAATAATCGGACATATAAACAACTTACACCATTGTAACGAGGAAAAGCTGAACTTTTACAAGGTGTACGGCATTTGGTGTTTTATAGCGAAAGAGCAAAGAAACAGCGATCGGAATTATCCCGATTTCACCGATACCACGCGGTCGGAAGGCCGCGAGTGCCCGCAAGGCCGTGTTTACGCTACCTACTACAAACCATACTGAAAATATTGATATATAATACGTTGATATTTATCTGAATTTGTAGCCCTAAAGACCTTTTAACTGCCCATTAGTCATCATCTCATTCGCCCTCCCGAAAAAAAATTCGTCCACGAGCCGAAAATAATACGTAGCGAATGAGTTAAATGTTATTATAGAACAATTTCAGTTCGATTCATTCGTGACATGACTGTGAACAACTCTTCTTTCAAGCAAAATGGAAATATTTGTTTCCAAATTATTACTTGGAAAGCTATTTTTTTTAGAATTCTGAAAGTTTTTCCGTAATTTTTTATTTGATCTGAATATTTGCATTTTGCCTTCATGGACACATATTTGTGCATGGTCTTGTAGCCAGTTGAAAGTGAAAGTTGTACTTTAAAAGTGGCTGAATATGAAGGGCCTTTTTTCCCCTGTATTTTACTTTTTGTGCAAAATTCAACTTGTTACCACAAACTGTAATTTTCCTTCCTTTTGCTTAGAGTTAGATTCATTTCTCTTAACAAAAGATTACATTTCATTAGTATCAGAACTTGATTTGTATTTCAATTGTCACTTTAAAAAAAAACCCAACTGTTTTCTCTTTATGTTTCACAATAAAGTGTCACAATGCTTGTTCATTTGCCTATTCACATAATATCTTTGTTCTGTTATTGCCAGATGAAGCAGCTGGGTCTACAACCAGTGAGCATTGATGGTTACTCAGAACTTGTGTCCCTGGCAGAAGAAGCCCAGACAGATATAGCAACCTCTTGATGTCTACTGTCTCTTCTCTAAAAGATTATTGTTTAAGAAAGAAAGAAAAGACGTTATTAGCTCTTTTTTTTAAAGAGAATTTTCCTTCAATGTCTTGTACAAAAGTTTACTGTTGGTACATGATAACATTGTACAAAGACACAACCATTCAACAAGTATATGATACTAATGGGCACATCGTTGTTGATTGCTATAGTGCAGCATGATCTTGGGTTGTTTTATTATGGTTTATTATATTGTTCATAATGTGTATATATTCTGATTATCCTGGTTTCTCTTTGTTGGTTTGCAAACACAGCTTGTGATATATTATGTCCAGTGTAAATTTTATATTGCCCAAAATTGAGTGCAAATATTTTGAAAAACTATTTCAAACTAGTAATGTGAAGATGTAGTAGCTAGTTAACTGAGGGATGCATTATCAATATCAATCATTAATAAATTTTAATACTATATAATAAGAGCTGGTTGAAAGGAACAATGTGAAGGTGGGATTGCTATATTAAGTTCGGTACAAATCTGACTATATAACCCCACTGTTTTACTTGGAAAAGCTCAAAATCTAACCTTCATTTTCTGCATAAAATGTAACCACCTTGAAAAAAAAGAAAGTACATTGTGAATGGCACTTACTGATTTGCTTCATGCCCAATGGTTTTTCCAGCCACAGTCCAATGTGCAACAAGCAATAGAATCTAATACTTACTGTCACATCTTTTGTCTCTTACAAAATAATATTCAGTAATGAATGAGCCAGATGTTATTCATGTGTGCACTGAAGGTGGTACATAAATATATGGAATAGATTAGGATCAACAGTAGTCAACAGAGAGGTTCCTTTTGCCCTCCCTTTTTCTATCGCTCCCTCACCTTTCATTCGCTTTCCCTTCTTACCTATTCACCTATAGATAAGCTTTATTTCTGTGCTTGTGGCTTGGACAATGGGTATGAAACAAGCATGCCATAAACACAGAGCTCTGAAAATTAAGGGACTTGGGACTTTTGTTATCGTTGATTTTCTTTTTTCTTCAGTATCAATGTTTGATAATACAGGGGAACTCTCTACGAGGTCGCCTGACCTGACCTTAAATCTCGTTGAATCCGAGTGTTCGTTATAGCAAACATGAGGTTTTGTGTAGATAATTACAGGCACTGAGCAAATAATGTTTAAAGAGAATTCACAAGTAGTGCCTGCTATGCGTGCATATTATGAGCTGTGTAAAAAAAAAGACAGATTCGTTCAAATGCACACGCCTGTGTCATCTCGATTGTTTACCAAAAAGTTGTGTTGCTGTGTAGAGCTTAGCATACGGCACCTTTTGATTCCATAGACCAGCGCACGATTCATTACGTAGATCTACGTCAAGACTAGCTTATCATTGTAATAATGACGAGTTGCTGAGGGGGGAAAAAAAGACTGGGTGCGACGCATTTTTTTTCTGCGACGTTCAACGCCCGGACCGCTAGTGCCCCCACATGCACACACAGCCACACGTGTGCAGGCCGCCCTTCCGACCCCAACACAAGCCAGAGTAGACATGTGCGCGTGCCAACAACGCATGTGTTAGTATGAAAAAAGGCCGCTGATTGGTCGCATGCAATCGGCTAAGTGAATAATGCCAATGGTTCACGATGCAGGAGCAATGATGGTTTCCGGGAATGGATAAAGTTTGTTGTGAGAGAAAAATGAGCGAAGCCACGTCTGCCGGGGCTGTTCACCCAGGAAGCGACCTCGTTGAATCCGAGCTCGCTGATTTAAGTGCTCGTTGAATCCGGGTTATTTTTATTGATTTTAAAGAAGAAAAAAAAACGGGCAATCTATCTCATCTCTTTGAATCCGAGTTCTCGTTGAATCCGAGTTCCACTGTATTTTAATTTGCATTTGTATAGCACATATATCCACTCTTTACAATAGGCTCTCTCTGTGTGCTTTACAACCATTATTATTACTGCACCAGACTTTAGAATTCAGGAACATTTTCGGCTTTGTTGGAAACATTTAGTGCACGTTGCAGATAATCATGCTTAAACTAACACTAACAGTTTCAAATACAACGTCTTCAGATGATTATTAGAATATTACCGGTAATTTCATCATTTTCGTGAAGTGCCAGCATTTCTCTATAGACTATATGTTTCCATGTTGCTCCTCTGGCCTTGCATGACATGAACAGCTTGTGGCAGAAATACTTTCATGCTGTTGCATAGTCATGTCTAACAGTTTGTATATATATAGCACAGGCTAGCACGCATGTAGGCCCTACCAAAATTGGTGGGATGCATAAATCTTCTCTTTATGTACAAACTTTGCTATGGATGTCTTTAGTTCATATATCATGTATGAGGAAAGAATGTGGGGCCTGAAAGTCAGCTCACTATGTGTGTGTTTTGCCATATCATGTTGGCTATGTACGTGCTAGACTGTAGATGAGAGTAAAAGAATACTTTTGGTTATTCTTGAATTTTCATAGTAAAAAAGAAACTGAATAAATTTCCAGTAACATAGCATAATATAGACGACATTAGAATCTATACATGATAACTTAATTTTTCTTTTAATATATTTTATGAAGTCAGTTTTGGGAACAGTAGCTGCAAATAAAATAAAGGTGCCAATGAGATTAAGTCTTTATCTCCGTGGGGGGTAAACCCACTACGCCGGGCCCTTTTTTTTATACTAAATCTAAAAATGACAAAAACGTCACTAAATGGGTCCTTAAATAAAAAAACAAGTCAGCCTATTTTGATAGTTTTTCATCTAATGAATGAAATCCCCTGTTCTCGGCAATTGCAGAAAACTAATTTGATGTCAAAGTCAATGTGCCCAAGCCGCTGCCAGCGGCGCACTGGCACAGGGGTTCTGACCATGAGCCGCTGGGAGCGCCTTGCTGGAGACAAAGAGTTAAAAAGAACCCAACTTTCCAAGCATGTACTTTTGTTTGCAATGACACAGAAAATATAATAAACTTTGTTGAACATGTAGCCATTTAATACAAAACTCCTTTCACCACAAAAGGATTTCAAATCCCCGAGTTTTTTCCCCACCTCTTTTCTATGCATTGCACCTTGCTTTTACATGAAACCTGCTTAACAAGAAGAAATTCTTTGGTCCCACAAGGTTTGTGTTTTACTGTATTCCTAAAACAAAGTGGGTTTTTTTTACCTTCTCAGCTTGTGGCCTTGCTTTTTTGGAACATGTAGTTTGTTGTCTAGAATAAGACATGGTTAAACTTTATGGGCTTGTATTTTCTTTGTACTGAATATTTCAATGAATCAGTGAAGTGTTGATTCACAAGTAGCTCTACTTTTGCTTTGAAAAACCTGCACTATTTTTAGTTTGAGACTTTGAGGGAGTCACTAGTTTGTTTTATGGTGTTTCAAGATCATTAGATGAAACCTCGATTTTCTCAACACAGCTCTTCCCC